GAGAAGCTCACATTACATTTTGGGATGCAGGCAGTTGCATTAAGATACACATACATTCACTGTTCTTGTCGGAAAAAAGCTGCCTGTATGTAAGCATATGTGCATTTTTTGCTTTGCTTTAAAAGCAGTTGAGGCAGGAACATCAGGCCCTGAGATCTTTTGGGGTGAGAAGAAAGAGATTAGTGTTCTATGTGGAAATATGGCTGAATAAGCTCTAAATTTCGCCCAAAGCCATTGGACAATAGCATTAATCTTCCTGTAGTTTGGCAGTAGAAAGGAACTGAGGATCAACAAAAGGCCTATCTGTACACATTAACATAATCTGAGCAGGAACTAGGAAGAAAATCTCTATCATCGTAATAGTGACTACCCTCAAGTCCCAATTCCAGGATCCATTCTTTGTGCTGGTTAGAGTTCAGGAGCAGCTGGAAGGTTTATCATGATATCACTCTCAACATGCCTCTTCTTTCTCTTTCCTGATACAGATGTCTGTGTTGGTGGAACTGCAAGCAAGGAGAATGCAGCTGTAACTGACATTACGGCACAGCCTTCATTGTTGACAACACCTGAACCATGGCACCTTTTGGTGACTCAAACACCAGCCAAGGAAAAAGCCAAAGAGGGTGAAACCGTGGTCTTAAATTGCCACTTTAACAGTCCACAGCATCCCTCCCTGACTGACCCGATGGTGAAGTGGTACAAAGAAGATGAAAAGGGGCAGATGGACCTGCTTGAAAACAATGTGACCATCTCGACAAATAACTCCAGGTTTTTCATGAGTGGAGACTTGTCCCAAGGGGATGCCTCCCTGGTGATCCTCAATGTGACAGTCAGTGACCACGGTATTTACTTCTGTGAGGTTACACTTCCGGACAGGACAGTAGTGACAGGAGATGGCACAAAGCTCAGGATCAGGAGAGCTCTGGGTAATACTTGATACTATTTACTTCTTTTTTCCTTCTTTCTCCTCCAAAGCTGGTCTATACACATGCAAAAAGAAAGAAGTTGGCCTGTTTGGTCTTTACCAGTTAGGGCCTTGTATTATGGAGTGTAATTGCTCCATAGCATTTCTCATTATTTTCTTTAGGCCAGCTAATTTTGATTGGCTTGCCTCTGTACATAGTCACATGGGTATTATTATAAGGAGGGGCATTTACAACCAAAAGAGAAGGAATAGTTTTATCGCTAAAATCAATGTCAGTGCCAAGAATGAAACAGCCAGACAAGTTCTCTTATACTCACAGCTCTGTTTAGCAGAACCTCCGTGAGTGACAGGTGTCAAGATACTGTCTCAGAAAACAGCTCCAAACTCCTTTTTTTGGGTATCATTTCTCTCCAACCCACTAACTTGCATATTCATTCCTTATCTCTGCAGCAGCATGTTTTGCCACATCATCTAGCTGTTAAGGGAGATTGCTAGAGAGATGGGGCTGCCCGATCTACATCCCCAGAAAGTGTAGCAGCTTCTTACACAGGAATAAAAAAAAATAATCGATAGCTCCTTGTGCCATGCTTTTTCTGCTGTGTAGAAGTCCATGATTTCATGTCAGACAAGACATTGACGTAATTGATATCATCATAAATAGCTTCCTCTGCAGCCACTGCAGAAAACATGTTGGTTGCATTGCATATACTTGCCTGGACAGCATCATTTGTTACTCTCTCTACCTTCCCTTCTCCACCAGGCTTGTTTGGTATAGAAGAATCCATTGGAACAATCATTGGGGTTGTGGCAGCTGGTGTTGGAGGAATAGTGATTCTGATCGTGATTTTAACCCCCCAGCTGAGGAGGTGTGTTCTCTGCATGAGACACGGCTCTCACCAAGGTAAGAAACACAAACCAAAGCCTGGAATACACTGGTAGAAAGATGAACCCAATCACCTTTTTCCAAAGGTACCTTTTTTTTTTTTTTTGACTTAAGGAGGAATTAGCCATTCACTTACCTCTCATCAGACAGAGTATCAGGTCAGGAAATAAGCAGTGTGGATGAAACTCTAACAGGGCTGGCTCTGTATTCCATCTCTTTCAAATAATTCTTTCTTTGTGTAGGGTAGAGCTTCCTGCATGGGCCTAATGAGTTCCTATAAACAAAACAGTAGAATTTTCTTTAATTTCCACTTTCAGCAAAGAGCTGTTTGATGAGGTGCTGCTGCTTCTTTTAACAAAATCCTGGGTCCCCTTCAGTTCTTTTAGTTTATGCTGAAAGGTGGTTCTTCCTCCCACCAGCTACATGCTTAACACTCGTATTCTTGTAATGCTTTGTGTACAGAAAGCCTGTGATGACCTAAGCGTGTGTATGAGGTGTGGTTTGTAGAGCCTTGTAGTGTCTTTCATTACATCAGCTGATCAGGTTGGGAAAACTAGACATTTCCATGTCTAGGCATGAGCCAAAGAAATGACCTAAGAAGCTGATGTACCTGAAAACTCGTCTGTTTTTTTCCAGCTCTGTCAGCTGCTCCAATTAGAGTAGACTGACACTGAAGGCTTGATTTTGAAACCAGCTTAGTTCCCATTTTGTGCAACCCGGGATGTGGTGTGCGTTTCAGACGGAGCCCAGCTGACTTTCTGCTTTCAGTGGGGGGGCCCTATGATTTACACCTCTTCTCCCGTCACCCAAAAATCTTCCTCGTCCTGCTGAGCGAAATCCCGTCCCTGAAGGAAGAGATGCTCTCGCCATTCACTGTGCCGCTGCCGCCACCTGATGGCCAGCTTGTCGGGGACAGGGACACGGCCAGGAGCTCTGCCTCCCTTACCGCGGAGAGCCTTCCAGCCTTTACCGAAACGCGCACGAACACCCCGTGTCTGGTGCTGCCCACACAGCATCATCCCCTTGCAAACCCTCTGCAGGAGCGGAGTCACAACTTCCTCACTTGCCAGGAAGCCTTGGAAGAGTTTATCGCGTTGTACTAACTCTGTATCACTCACTTACTCTCCTTCTTGCTTAGCTTAGCTTGAGGCGCAGCATTACAAGAGTCACTGGAAGATGCAAAGCCTGCAGGTGGAACAACTTCTGATGCCCATAAGCCGAAAATGGAGCTCTAGATGGAATAAAAGCCTTTACGTCAATATATGTTGTCTTTGGCATTTTATTTTTGTTAGTCTGTTTCTTTTTCCTGCAGCTTTGCAGCCACAGTGGCACATTCAGCATCCACCTGCAGCCAGGAGCAAAACAGCCTTTTGTGAAGAAATTTGTATTATTGCCTGCCAAAACTCACTTCGTTTGGCCTCATAGCTGTGAATTTAGACTCTGATGAGGTACATTGCGTCTTTCCCTGCCATTACTTTTTATTTTAAAGGTAGTACTTGAAGTTTATTAGCTGTGCTTCAGAAGAGACAGAAGGAGCCTGACCTACCCAGACCCCCCAGCTCCCAGCTGCTAACATCTACCTGGAAAATCGAATGTGTCATTTCTGGGAGTGCAACCATGGTGCCCGTCTGTCCCCACTTCCCAGTATAGAGACTCTTGTCCTGTTGGCTTCATAGAATCTCAGAATAATTAGGATTGCTAGTTCCAACCCGCCTGGATGGGCAGGGACACTTCACACTAGACCAGGTTGCTCAAGGCCTCATCCAAACTGGCTTTGAACACTGCCAGGGATGAGTCAACTGAAACTTCTCTGGTCAGCCTGTTCCAGTGCCTCACCACCCTCTCAGGGAAGAACTTCTTCCATATATCTAACCTCAATCTCCCCTGTTTAAGTTTGAACCCATTACCCCTTGTCCTATCGCTACAGTCCCTGATGAAGAATCCTTCTCTGGCATCACTGTAGGCCCCCTTCAGATACCGGAAGGCTGCTATGAGGTCTCCACGAAGCCTTCTCTTGTCCAGTCTGAATGAGCACAGCTCCCTCAGCCTGTCTTCATATGGGAAGTGCTCCAGCACCCTGATCATCCTCCTGGCCCTCCTCTGGACTTGCTCCAGCAGCTCCATGTCCTTCTTATGCTGAAGACACCAGAACTGTGCATGGTACTCCAAGTGGGATCTCACAAGAGCAGAGGCTTGCTCCAGCCTACAGGCTTATACTAAAAAGGCAAAGGCAGCCAACTTGAACATAGTTACTCCTGGCTGAGAGAATGGGATTTTGTTTTATTCTTGTCAGAAGGAAATGTAGTGTTTCAATATAAGCCTCTAATGCCCTTAAAAAAGATGATGAAAGATTTGTTTGACATGACTAATGTTCTCCATAGTCCCCATTTTCTGACAGGAAAATACTTGATTCCCAGGTGATCAGTGACCAGGGGATATGCCAATATAAGAGAGCGTCTCCTACGTGTGGGAGAGCAGCATATCAGCTCTGAAACACGTGTAGTGGGTGGGGAACAAGTTCTTTTGCTAAGTATGAGTGTGCTTGCTAGCAAGTAGAAGTCAGAAACCCTTCCTGGACTTGTAACAGCAATAGGCCATTGTAACTCTGCTTACTTTTGAACACATCCCAGAAGGGTCCCCAGTGCTGCGAGGCAGGAACATGAGGGTAAGACAGTTGGGTATCTAAACTAAGAGAAACACACATCATGCAAGAAAGGGTGGAGCCCTGGGCCAGACTCTGCTTTTCCTTCTGGTAGGAAGCAGAACTCCTCCAAGCAAAAATAAAGAATGATGGGGCATCCTCCCTCTTTGATGTCCCCTCTTCTTCTGCAGGTCCAGGAAAATTAAGTGGGTCACTCTTCTTCCAGTTTGGAATGCCTCAGGTCTTCCAAGGCTGGTGGATCTTTTCACAGAGATGGCTTGTTTCTCTGGTGGTTTGTTTTAACAAGCCAGTCCAGCAGAAGCCTCTATGCATTTTCCAGATCATGTGTGTGGGAGCTGAAGGTCAGGCAATGTGAAAGGACATAAAAGCCATTTGGTGACAGGTAGTGTGTTCCCACTACACTGCAGACCAAACCCTCTGTTTCTGCAAAGGCCATGATAAGAGCAGGATCTTATCCTTCAGCATATATGTTACCCTGTCTCTCCTCCCCATAAACCTTGACAGAAATTCTCTCACACCATTGTTATCCCTGGTAAAAATGGTAAAATTTTATTCCAGCACCTTCAGATTCAAAGGGTTATAAGAAAGGTCCTTAAAAGACTACTCTGGCCCCCCGTATCCGAAATGGCAGGTGGGATGAGTCTGCCCACATAAAAAGTTTGGCCAGAGGACGAAGTGTGGGTTGTATGGGGCTGCTCTCCAACACTTGGCTGCTTCTTGGTCACACAGGCACACCATTTTTTCACACTGGTCTGTCAGGTTATCTGCAAAAGAAAGTGTGAGTGAAGGATGAGAGATTCTGGATGAAGGCAAGTAACAGTTTTAGGAGGAACAATTCCATAATAAGACCATTCTTAAGGAACAGAGGCTGTGGGAGCAGGAGAGCAGGACCAACAAGTTGTAGGTGTGAAGATCTGACCCTCCCCTGTGTTGTCTCTGTTGATAGATCTGACCCTAACTGTTACCAAGATCAGAAAGTAGCAGCTAAACATGAACTGGCAATGCCCATAAAAATCCACCCAGGTCAGAGCACTCCCCACTTCTAGAGCTGTGTGAACAAGGGTCGTTTGGTTGAGTGGTGGAAGCTAAAAAAGAAAATCATTTTAGCTTAGCCTGAGCTAGAAGTATTCTATTTCCCTCCAGTCTGTTTCCCTTCTAACTCCCCCCTCTGCAAATTTCCAATCTCAAAAGGAAAACAATGCTGCTTTGAAAGGAGGAGTCTCCCAGAGTGACACGCAGAAACCTGATGGTGTAGAAGCACCCACCAGATATCCTTCACTCATGCGCCACAAGTTGCTCTTATATTTCTTTTGTTTGAATGGAATCAGACATTATACCTTCACACCCCACTAAAACCTGCTGTGCTGTAGCCTGGGGTAGGAAATTTGCCTTCCAAACATGTTTCTAGTGTTCCTCCCCATGGGGGATGTCAGGAGAAGTGAAGCTTTATGAGGGCTTGTGGAGAACAGTTAAGGGATGCTTCTCAGACCTTGTCTGGACATCAGTCTAAGGAATGAATGGTGTTTGTTTAATTAATGCTCATTAGCCAGGTTGGAGCAACTGCAGCCCAGTGCACTTTTATGGGATAGACACTGCACATGTCTCATGGGCTCAGTGATACATCTCACATGTGCAACAAGGGTTGTTCCTTCACAGCAAAAAGAAACACGATTTTTTTTTCCATATAAAAAATAGCTAGCAGAAAATATCAGATAGCAATGGAAATACGGGTAAGTGGGAAGGAGAGGAGTTATGCATTAAAACAATACATTCCTTAGCCAGCACTTTGTACTTAATAGGTTGCTCTGGCAAATGGAAAAGAGCAACTGCAAATGTACTGTGCCCTATCCTGTATCTGCTACCTGATTTTCAGCTGCTGGAGGGGCTGAGGACTGCACCAGTAACATACGGAATTCTGGTAAAGACAAACAGTCTTTTAATGTTCAAGCAAATAGCCTGGGTGGGATGGGAAAAAATTTTACTCTCACATGGTTCTTTTCAAACTTTCAAAGTGTTCCACAATGGATTTTACCATCAGGGACTTTTTGGAGACTTAGAAATAGAAGTGACAAATTCTAAGACTCGAGTCATCTGGTGTATGTCAAAACAAACTGGTGCGAGCCACTGATGGGCTGTGAGTGTGCAATTTAAGACCTTCTTGACTGGGTACCAGCTGTAGAGCTGAGCACAGCCTACACTTGCTGTATGCCTGCATCACTCAAGAGCATTTGATTCTGCAAGCTTCAGAATGCCTGCTGGAGCCCCAGGGCTTTAGGCTGGAGCCCCACATGAGACAGAGGTGCAGGCTGGCACCCGACTTCACCTGTCTTGCATCCATAAACCAGCATGGCTCTTCTCCAGCAGCACACAATGGTAAGTAAAAGAGTGAACAGTCCTGGTGGAAGGAGGGCCAGAACTGCCACAGGAAGCCCACCCCTGCAGACCATCGCACAGCTGTGGGAAGAGGTCAGAGAGGAGCAGGTATGCTTAACGAGAGTGAGTGGAGAGCCTCCAGAGAAGCATGTGCATCCCTGCCACACTGACGTGGCTGGTAGGTGGGCTCCATGGCCCCAGCTCCCCCTTCTCAGCCTCATGAGGACTCAGGTTACCTGGAACGGGCGGTGGGAAGTCCTGGCAAGCCTAGCGATGCAGGCAAGGGGTGGGCAGAGAGCTTGGAGAAGAACGGATGCTACCTAAAGCAGCTTTGACACCAGCTCAGCATACGCAGGCCTGAGGCCCACAGAGCTCTCTGGTCAGCCTCGTACCTGCCGAGGAGGGAATGAAGTGAACCCGAAGCGAGCAAGTGTTTTCTTACCACACTGCACCGTGTTCTGCTCACATGCCCACTGGTAGCGCTGTGCCTTGGGGCTGCAGCCTGCCTTCTCTGCCTTGTCATAGCAGCAGTCGTGCCTGTGGCAGCACCTGCAGGAGAATAAAAGGTAGAGTTTAGGCATCCTCCTGCATCCTGCACGATTTGCTCAGGGGTGTTTGCACGTACTCCAGGAGTGCTGCACTCCCACACAGCTCACAACAGCAGTGTTTGCCCCAGCTTGTCAGTAAATCATGTGTTGATGAACCAGCATCCTGGTACCCCTGTGAAATCTACACGGCTCAGGAGCTCGTTAATGCCATATTTGCTCCCATGCCCACTGTGCTTCTTCCTCTGAGCTTTTGCCCTCAGAAAGGCAGGTGTGGTTGGTACATGGTTATCCCACTGAAAGGAACCTGGTATGTTCCTATGAAGTGTGTGATTGTGGCTCTTCAGTTTAGGCTTAGACCCATCCCAGAATTTGGAGTCAGGAGGTGTTTTGCCTCCTCAGCATCGCCAAGCAGCTTCATCTCTTCAGTTCACCTGGACCTGCAACCTTTGACCCATGCAGTTTCTGACAGCTGGCTACAAACTCATCAGCCACAATGGTGGAATTCCCATCAGTTAACTTCAGATGCCTAAATGTAAACACGTACACCTAAGGCACTGATCTGCACTCCATTTATACACGTCTGGGGCACAGTTCCTGTTACTGCACTACAAAGAGCTAACGCAGGTGAAAAAATGGCATTTATAAGTGTAACTGCATTTCACTGACCACAGAGGGGGCTGAGGGTGACTAGCTCAGCTGATGACATCTGTCCTACAGACTAGTCAGTGAGACACTTCCCACTATCAGTTACTTCAGAATTTCTGGAACATTTGACCCCGCTTGGATTTTATTCAGGTAATTTAGGGACTCAAAATACACCATATGTTCATCACCTAGAGAGGTCCACTGCCAAACAACAAAGGTTTCAATGATGTGAGCTCAGGCTGGAGCCAGAGAGGAGCAATCTCCTGCATTTCCAGAAGCTGTCTTTGCAAGATCACTGGGACTTTACAGAGAAACTGCTCTACTAACTGGGAGGCATCGAGGCAGGCTGATTTTAGGGATAAATGCAGAACAGACAGCTTTCAGAGAAGCTCTTGAGTCCTAGATGTGAATCTGTTCAAGAGGTTGATGAGGTGGCCCAAAGGGAGCATATCTGTGCTGCCTCCCCATAGATCACCAAATCCAGCTGAAAACCTTGACTGTTATCTTCAAGACCTGAGGCCAGTATACCTAAAAAGCTAATAAAAGTCTGGGATCCATCATTATGTCCCTCTGGAAAAGTGGAACAATCTCATAAGGAGGATAAAGGTCCCTTGTGCAGGAAGCCGGGCTTCTCTGGGGACCTGTCAGGAGCTGCCCAGTACTTTACCTGAGAGCTCAGGAACATCACAAACGTCATCATTCAGCTGCAGAAGGCTTTTTTCCAGTCAGAAACTGGTTTACAGATGTGAGGCTGGTGAGCAATGTGAGGTGATAAAGCCCAGGGTTAAAAATAAAACCATTTTGAAGTGCATCAACCACTGATGCAAATTCTAATAAAATCACTGGGATGAGATCAGGTGAATCATGTGAAAGAGACAACAGAATTGGACCAGTCAGCTCAAATTCAGCCTTCATTCAATCCACTGTGATTACGCACAGGCTGAATTTAGTCCATTATGCTTTCCTTACTGAATGGGCTCCCAATTTAGTAGTTGAAAGTAGCAATTTCATCCCACAGAGGAGTCTTCCAACTAAATGCCTTTTTTTTCTCAGCTTACAAAGATGAAACCTGTGTGATGATTATGTCCAGACCACTCACTGCATTGTGAAACCTAGAAATGTAGGTTAGCAGGAGCAGACTAGTATCTCCATCCATGCCAGCTCCTCAAAGGACTTCAGGATGGGACTCAGCCCTATGGGACAGACAGATATACATATCTAGACGTTTTCCCATTAGGAGTTACAGCAATTGCTGTAATTGAGAAGACCTTACTCAGCCCATGGAACCAGTTCCATTGGACATGATGGCAGTAAGAGGCTGTGGTTGGTACATGGTTACTCCTGGGCTTGTTCTGAAGAGGTTGGAGGTGAAAGGCAAAAGGAGAGAAGAATTTGCAGCCTTGTGAAAAGCATGAAATCCTCGGCTTTCTCCAGTGTTTGAGTCCCTGTAGAGTGTGTATATGATATGACAGGGTTGGACTACGGCACTGAGCTACACCTGGGGCTCGTGTCATCTGGAGGAGTTGCTGTAGCCCAGAGCATCCTGGCTAACATACCTGAACCTGCAGCACAGTCTCATTCATCCTCAGTGGCCCATCACTGGTGTCTCATATATGGGACACAGAGCACACGAGTCTGTGGTGGAGAGCTGTGAACCAGGCTGACTGAGGTGGAGTGTCAGCTGTAGAAATCATAGGGTTTGTGAGGTCTGGGGAGTGAATCAGTCAAGTTGGTAAAGTTGGTGTCAGTGATGGAGGAGTGTGGGGAGGAGGAACAACCTTAAGGCAGACAAGCAAAGGGAGGAGCTAGGAGCCTGTGCACCAAGGGAATGAAAATGCTTTCCATGGAGAGACAGAGGGAATTAACAGAAAAAGAGGTAGGAGAAGTGAGAACAAGTCTTGGAAAGGGCAAAAGATGGTCTGTGGATCAGGCAAGGACAAGCAGCTGAGCACTAGAGAGATGTGCTAGAGAGCTGTGAGAACTTGCTGTTCCTTATCTGGCTTGGCAGAATCAGGTGGATTGCCTAAGTTCTGCAGGACCATTCTGCTTCCCCTTACACCAGTTCCTCTTGACGATACCCATGACTGCAGCAGGGTGACATGCTGCTCACACCAACACAAAGTGGGAAGACTTTGGCTCATGTTTTACAAACACCTCTTTCAGATTTGCTGAAACTGAACTGCCAGGGAATGAAGACTGATAAACCTATTGCTGTCCTTTGACACCTTCAGATGGTCCCTCCTGTCTGGAAATGCCCTCTCCTGCACCTGGGTCAGAGTGTGGTGTTAAGCTTTCAACACCCTGCTAATGCTCGGTCAGACCCATGCAAACAGAGTCAGCCAACACTATGTGAGAGCACTGCTCAACGGGTATGGAAAACAAACACAACAGTGTCATCTAGTTAGTAAACAACCTGTTCATCACCCCTGGGCTATGAGACAGCCCTAATGGCTACAGACAGCTCCAGCTGGCCCTCAGGAATCATCTGGCCAGACCCCTGCTGCTCAGCAAATGCCACATTACGGTAAGAATTTGTCACGTTGTGTTTGTCATGTTAACAGCACCGTCACTGCTGAGTCCTTTTATTTTGCTTTAACTCATATATGCCACCCTTCCTTTCATGGCATTTGGTATTTTCAAGGAGATGCTGAGCACCTTCAGGTCCTGCTTTACAAAATGAGTGCTGCAGTCATCCAGGGGAACAGAAAGGAGAAGGAGAAACAGATCTATTGACTTTATGCAGAGGAGATGCCATTATGTCTTGAAGCGATAGGACTGTGAGAGCAGAAAAGTGAGAAGGTACTTACTGACAGCTCCACATCAAAGTCAGTGTGTGGAATAAACCCTATGAAAGGATTACCCACCCACTCAATGGCATTCTTTCTTTTCCCATAGAAGAGAGGTGCTTAGAAGCACTCTAGCCCTGTCTAGACAGATCGACTGAATTACTCACAAGAACATTACTCCTTTTGTAAGGGTCTCAGTAACAAACCTAGAAGTGTCAAGGGAGTGAGTAACTTAAAAGAGTGTCTGTCACTCTCAGTCAGTCATTTTGCCACTGTGCTTCCTTCTTTTTTAGGATGGCAAATATGGAAAACAACGTGGTCACTTTGACAGACACAGGTGCTCAACAACACTGATCTTTGCAGCAGTTCTCAGTAACAGAAGATTCCTCCAGCAAATATGAAATGGAAATTTTTAGGGCTAAATCTAGTGAGACTTTTCCAGTTCTTCCTAGCTCAGAACCTAGCTAAAAACCTTTCTGCTGGTTTTGGTTCTTTGTTTTGTTTTGGGCATTTTTTTGCAGCCAAGCACTGCAGCTAAGGAAAAATAATGAATGCACTTAAAAGATCAAGCTTCCCTTTTACAAACCACCTGGTATTTTGAGGCATTTCCAGTTGCAGAGTCTCATTTTCTGCCATTAGGATAAACATATCCCATGGAAATCAAACGGCAGCAGAAACACTGGCTGATGAACACGTGTCCGTATTTTATTCCCTCTGGCAGTTTTTCAGGAATGCTGACCACTTGCATCTCCCAGAGTTGCCTAAACTTGGGGGTCACTCAATGTCTATGGAAAACAGCTTTTAGGTGACCCTGCTCAGCCTGTCAGTAAAAGAAGTACTCCAGATGAGTGAAGTCATATTTTAGTTTAAAGGCCTGATTATGAGAGCTGGTATAGGGCTAACAAAAATAATGACACCTTACAGACACTGCTGTAGGTGGTGATAAGCCAGTTGAGATATTACTGAAAATGAAAAGCATTTACACCTGAAAGCTATGACATTTTGCAGGCAGTTACTCCTTATTTCTAAGTCCCATATTCATAGATGAATTCATAGATTTCATAGATGAAATGTTTCATAGATACAAACCAGGGATGCGATGAGAGGGCTTCAGGAGTGAAACATCTCACTGCATCAATGAAGACAGTCCAACTAGTTTTAAGGGACACCCGTTCTTTCATGCCTACAGAGGAACCGGTGTTTAACCTTGGCATCTTCTTTTCCTTTTTTCCCCTTTTTCTGTCCTGCCAATTCAGCAAAGTCTGAAGCCATTTTCAGGACCTGAGTGAAATAACCCTTTAAATACCTTGATCGCTCCCCTATTTTTTCAGGCAGAGCTTGCTCTCTATGAACAAACATGCAGCTATTTCAGGAAATCATTTCCTGGTTTCTCCTTTGCCCTCCACCCCACATAGACCCAAGAGCTTTGGTCCCATCCAGAAGGCGGCTAAGTCGTTATTCAAACACCAAGTGATACGTGGGTCCTCACAATTCCCCAGTGCTGCTCATACGTACTAAGTTCCCTCTCTACAAGGTAGCAACGAGCCTCTGGAGTCACTGTAGTACAAACATGGAAGAGTGGGGAGATGTGCACTGCTTCTGAACACAGAGTTGAGGTTCTTCTTACCAGTCTGTTTTATCTTTAGGCCAGCCATGTCCTCCCAGTCCACAGTAGCATCCGTAGCCAATATATGCCAAGGGAGACCGTCCCGTGCCACACGATATAGCTCCTGCCAATTCAATGATTCCTCGGGTGTGCAGTGAATGGGCTTTTCCCAGAGCACCTTTCCAAACTGCAAAGACAGGACATGGCTACGCACAAGGATTAAAAACACCTAACACTGATTTTCCTAAGTCCTTAAAGGGGGATCTTTTTGTTTGGACTGGTTGGTTGGGTGCAGCCCTGGCAATCTCATTAGCCATGACATTCAGCCTGCAAAGTGGGCTCTGCAGGGCCTTACCTGGGGGCTGGATGCAGAAATACCCACGCCGGCTGTTTCTGCAGAGGGAGCTCAGTGCAAGCAGGACTCACTAGCTCCCATGTGCTAGGGTGTGATTGCGGCTCCATGACACCTGGGAGCAGTGTACCTGGTTTTACAGAACACACAGCCAGAGCTGTTGGCTTTATAGGGCCTGTGCCAGCACCATGCAGAGCCAGCTGGGCTTCACTGCACCCCAGAGCTCCTAAACCTGGGACAGCTTATGCTGTGGTCTCAAGTGGGATGTGGAGCAGCAGAGGACAAGCATGCAACCAGAACTAATCTGGGCTCTGTGGAAAAACAGAAGTTTCTATGTTGCCCAAGGTGTCTTATATTATCCAGGTTTCCCCTCCTATTCAGGATATTTTAACCCATTCTCCAGATCACAAAAAGCTGACAGTACTATTAATTTGTGTAGAGGGTAGCTACAAATCCCTGAGCCTGTAAAGTACACTTTGTTGAGGATAGATTGCCTACACAAGCCAAGATGTATGTGTATCAGCCTTCTTTGGAGTGTTTGGAGGTGCTGGCAACACTTACCTCTGCTTCCGTTACTACATTCCATTTAAGTCATAACATCAGGTTGGCTGCATTAATTTTGACAAAAGAAGCTCTGTGTCCTGTGCCAGTGGCCACCCGAACCAGTCAGGAGGGGTTCCGGGTACAAGTCTTTCCAACAGGGTTGTGATTCCACATCTTAGTTTGCAACTTTTCAGAAGTCACAGGCTCTACCTTGCAGTAATCCTTGCGGAGCCCAGGAGTGTGCTGCCCCTAATACTCATACCACTGTGATGCTCAGCTGCAAATGTTGGTGCTTATCATGTTAAGGATAGCGACAGACAGGAGTATTTCTTGCCTGTGTCCACTGCGAAGGACAAAGAGCACTTTGCACTGCCCTGTCATGCATGGCAAAGCTACTCACCAGTGGTACTGAACCCCTCACGCCAACTGCCTACCCCATCAGTTCATCCCTCCCATGCACAGCCACCCCAACAAGAGAAGCCTGCTGGAACAGGGGGACTTTGCAGCGCACGCAGATGGAGAGCGAGGTGATGCCTGGAAGCTGGGAACCCACCACTGAAGTTCCTTTGCCTCCTGCACTCTTGACCTCTTCAAAGTGCTGTGCAAACACGGACTAATTAATCCCCTAAACCACCTGAGGACTCAATACTATTTAAAACAGTTGCTCTCCTTTTAAAACCTAGCCTCTAATCCCCTTGCCTGGGCTTCGCCCAGCATCTCCTGGGCTAGCTTGACCCCTAGCCTGATCGAAAGACCACAAGGGCAAGGAGGGTCTCTCTCCATGAAGGACAAGGTAGGGCTTTGGTCTCTCTCTACAGGCCAAGACTGCGCCGGACAGTGGAGTGCTGCCCTACGCCATTTCCCATGCTGCGATCGGTGCCTCAGGCTGTGCTGGTGTGGGTTTCACACAGCCTCCTTATGCTTCTGGGGGCATTCCTCAGGGATTAAATGCACATTCCTGAAAAAGTAACTACACCGCTCACCTAAACACTACTTGAGTGTTCAGGTTTCGTGCTAAAAACACATTAGACGGGCATTATTCAAAACTAATGAGACGACCTATTTCCCTTGTCTAAACAGCACGGCTCCAGAGTTAGAAAGGGGCTCAGCTCTCAGGTGTCCCAGGGAAAATCACAAGCAGTGAGCTGCCCTGGATTTGGGCTTAAAAATCACACTTTTTCAACCTGTTGCAGTTTGCAGACCCTGAAAATGTGCCAGTGGAAACAAAGACTTCTTTGTAGGCATTCAGGTCTCCTGACAAGCAGCTTGAAGGTTTCTTAGCTGTCTGTTGCTGACCTCTTGGTCTGTTGGTCACTGGCTGAAGCTGGCGTAAGGTAACTGCACCTCACCCAGAAGAAGAAAGACCTTTCTTCTTTTAGGGGTATCTCTGAGGATCAAGCAACTGTAATTACAGTGCAGAGTTGCTCATGAAAGTGGAGAGAAAGCCCCAAAGGGAATTGATTCCAAAAGACTTGGTTAGTGTGCTTAGGGCTGCATGCTCTGCAAGAGCTTGAGGTAACTCCGGCATCCAGGCAGCCTCTGATGTTCCTGTTCCAATCTTTGAAGGCTGCCTGGGCTTTGAGCTGAGGGGTCACTGTAGCTGAGAGGTCAGCCCCAGCAAGTTCACTTCAGTATTCAGGTGCACAGCTAATAACTTGTCCAAGAACTGAAACTGCTTTTTCTAAGCTGGGCAGCCAAGCCAACGCAGCTGGGAAAGCCTTGAAAAGGTCCGAGCCTCCGCAGCAGCCTGCATTTAGCCACATCTGCCATTAGGAGCATGTTCAATCATTAGTTATAATACTAACGGGGCACCTTAGCAGAGAACATACCTGCAGGGAGGTGAGCAGAGGTGGATCTGACAACTCACACTTTCTATTTCCTGCTTAAACGGGCAGCCTTTGCTGTAGATTAAGGCAAGGTTTAGGTTTTTATTTTAAAACTGTACTGTAGGTATAACCTCAGACCTGCTAGTTTAGTGTCGTTGCCTTTGTGTGTGAGGGCTTTATGTTAGCAGACATTTATGGCCTTTTTTAACAGCCTTTTTAGAAATTATTTTAACTTCAGATGAATTTAAAACCATTTACTGCAGGGTCACTGGTACAA